TAAGATATTTGTATTTATGGAGGCGAGGGATTTAACAAGGAAACACTAAATTAAAATATTGGACTTTATACTTGTAATAAGATTAACACGAGTTGTTATATATTTCAAGGAACTCTAACGTGGTGAAAATGTGAATATTATTTAATAAAACATATTAGTAAGATAGAAGGATAAATGATACACCATGATGTATCTAGACTGATTTGGTTAATTAAATGTATAACATATTTAACCAACTTTTGAAACAAAGACGTGCGTAACTTATGCACTACCTCTATTTGTCTTTAAGCTTTATAGTAAAACGTAGTCCATATAACACTGTGATACTACATTGCTCGACTAATTCACCGATATTGTCTGGTTTATTGAACTAGTTATTGTGGAACTGTTAACTTCACAGTTATTTAGGACAGTGATACAGATGGCTATGATACTAACAGAAAGACCCAGAGAAATAAAATACATGATATTGGCAGCGTCTGTTACATGGCATCAACTTGCCTCATTTGGTCGGAGAAACATACACATTAGCGATTGAATATTTTTCACACTCTAATGAAAATATATATACGTCGAATATAATAAAAACACATGCTACTTGTATGTAACAAGGCTTATTTTAAGTTGTGTTTGGTCCAATTATTAAGTGGTAATAAAATTCAGGAATGCGAATAGAACAATGAGCAAATTTTATTTGGAAGGATTGTTTATATATATACATGCACAAGTGTATTTCTTGAAATCCGTTACAACCGATAGTACCATCATATTTTTTACTCCAATGAATCATATTGTAATATTTTTATTTACAAGACATATATATATATAATTCTTCTTACCATCAAAAGGCTGATTTTGACAACTTGTTAGCACGTCGACTGAGAATCTGACGTTCTGTGGATTGCGCAAAGTCGCATTAAGTACTTTATTTTATCGATGTATTAAAAGAGTGACAGTCAAATCCCAATATTCGATTGCAATAGCTCAAGAATTGGTGGTGGGCGGTGTTGACTAGCTATCTTCCCTGTAGTCTTTCAGTTCAAAATTAGAGACGGCTAGTGTAGACAGTCCTAGAGTAGCTTGGTGCGAATAGCCAAAACAAACAACAATTAATGTCATGGTATTTGGTTTTCAGTAAAAAACATGGCTTTCAGTCGTATATTTCAAAGCTTAAAATATATATATCTAGGAATATCATATAGTGACTTAATTACAATTACCAGGTCCTTTCAGTAAGAGACAATGTTTCATTGTTAAAGTGTCTGTCGGAGTAAAGCAAATAATTAGGAAACATTTATGCAGGAAAAAGACGCTACAGGAATGATGATAGAATTCACTTAAATTATTGTAGGTGGACGCTTATCAGGGGCGGACGCCCTTCCTATCATTCGATTTTCTAATCTCTGCCCAGTCACACAAGAGAAGATAATATAAGAAAGAATAAAATTACACAATGCATTCAGCGCGCAAAACGTCAACTATATTCCTGAACAAGTGGATGAACAAAGTAATTTTATCCTAGTACTCATTCTTCTCCGAGATGTAAAATGGATTCGGTTGTCTTTCCTCAATTTTTTTTTTAATTTGCGTAAATGGAGAAACATTAGCTAAGAGGAGGAATTCCAATCCTTTCTTTGACGTATTGAGTAGAGTCTGCCACCATTTTGGTTGTGGTTCTTTTCTCTTCTCTCTTTTTTTTTTATTTTGTTGCTTTCACATTTCTTCCATTTATTTGAAATGATATAAAGTGAAGATAATTTTAGTAACTTATGAATTATTATAATTTTATTCTTAACCAGGATTCATTGGGGCAATGGTAAGTTTACGGACTTGCAATGCTAAAATCCAGGCTTCGATTCTCTACTTTGCTCAAAAACAAACAAATATAGATGTGGTGTATTGCATCCGTAAAACACGTTGTTTTCAAGAAGGTATTAAAAGAAAATTTAACATTTAAAAATTACTTTGTATGCACAAAACTATGTTTCGTTATATTCATTCTGTCATAAAAAACAACTTTATATTACTTCAATCATGGTAACTCGTAATCTGTTATTATTATTTTATTATAAGGACAGGCTGTTTGTGATCTTAGAAGCTTGTGGGACTCCGGGCGTAGGATTTTATATGCTTTGAATTTCTCCTATTTTATCTATGAAACGTTGTACCATTCATATAAAACACCGTTTCTTTCTATACGAAATTTGTGATTCGTCACTGAATTTATCAGATTTTACCTAAACAGTGTGAAATGTATCGACTTTGTGTTTTAGGCCAAAGTAACAAATAAGATAAAAATAGTTTATAATAATTTCAGATTATTAAGAGGATAACAAAATTATGTTGAAGTACAGTTTTAAAGTCTTTATTAATGCTAGTCTGAACTTTAAAGAAGTTATTTATTGATAAACTAGATTAAATAATAATGTTTTAATATTTTTACCGATGCTTTATCTAATAGCTTTGTAAATATCTTCTGTAGATTTAAATTTGAAATTACCCCAATGAAATTTACTAGTCCATGTACACTTAATGTTACAGAAGTACTCCAAACCTGAATGACATACCACAATGTACATGGTTATTTTATAAATACTAGCCTGAGGAAGCATAAGAACAAATACTATTTTGGAAATTACCCCAATGAAATTTACTAGTCCATGTACACTTAATGTTACAGAAGTACT